ATTGATGGTAAATGCATGAGTTTATTTCTGAGCTCTCTATCCTGTTCCGTTGGTTTTTGTGTTAGCTTTTATGCCAGTACCATGCCATTTGATTAGGTTTGTATTTATTTTGAAGTCAGCTAGTGTGGTACTCCACCTTTGTTCTTCTTGTTCAAAATTGCTTTGGCTCTTTGGGGTCTTTTGTGGGTCTGTACAAATTTTAGGATTTTTTTTCCTATTTCCTTGAAAAATGACTTTGGAATTTTGATAGGAATTACATTGAATCTGTGGATTGCTTTGGGTACTATGGACATTTTACTATTAATTCATTTAATCCATGAACATAGGATGCCTTTCCATTTATTTGTCTTTTTATACTATTTTTTTCATCAATGTTTTATAATTTACAGTATATAGGTCTTTCACTTCTTTGGTTAAATTTACTACTAAGTGTCTTTTTTTTTTTTTTTTTTTGATGCTACTGTGAATGGGATTAATTTCTTTTTCTTTGTTCTTTTTTTTTGAGACAGAGTTTCACTCTTGTTGCCCAGGCTGGAGTGCAGTGGTACGATCTTGGCTCACTGTAACCTTCGCCTCCCGAGTTCAAGCAGTTCTCCTGCCTCAGCCTCCCAAGTAGCTGGGATTACAGGCATGCACCACCATGCCCAGCTAATTTTGTGTTTTTAGTAGAGACGGGGTTTCTCCACTTTGGTCAGGCTGGTCTCGAACTCCTGACCTCAAGTGATCAGCCTACCTCGGCCTCCCAAAGTGGTGGGATTACAAGCGTGAGCCACCGCACCCCGCCTGGGATTAATTTCTTAATATCTTTTTCAGATAGTTCATCATTAGTTTAAAGAAATGCTGGCTGAGCACAGTGGCTCATGCCTGTAATCCCAGCACTTTGGGAGGCCAAGGCGGGTGGATCACCTGAGGTCAGGAGTTCGAAACCAGCCTGGCCAACTTGGTGAAACTCCGTCTCTAAAAAAAACACAAAAATTAGCTAGGCGTGGTGGCAGGCACCTGTAATCCCAGCTACTCGGGAGGCTGAGGCAGGAGAATCACTTGAATTCGGGAGGTGGAGGTTGCAATGAGCTGAGGTCACACCATTGCACTCAAGCCTGGCCAACAGAGAGAGACACCGTCTCAAAAAAAAAAAAAAAAAAAAAAAAAAGAAATGCTGCAGATTTTTACATATTGATTTTTGTGCCCTGCAACTTTGCTGAATTCATATATCAGTTCTGACAGTTTTTTGGTGGAGCCATTAGGTTTCTGTATGTAAGATCATGCTGGCCGGGCGCGGTGGCTCACGCCTGTAATCCCAGCACTTTGGGAGGCCGAGGAGGGCGGATCATGAGGTCAGGAGATCGAGACCATCCTGGCTAACACAGTGAAACCCTGTCTCTACTAAAAATACAAATAATAATAATAATAAAAAAAAGATTAGCCAGGCGTGGTGGCAGGTGCCTGTAGTCCTAGCTACTCGGGAGGCTGAGGCAGGAGAATGGCATGAGCCTAGGAGGCGGAGCTTGCGGTGTGCTGAGATCGCGCCACTGCAATCCAGTCTGGTAGACAGTAAGTGAGCCTCCGTCTCAAAAAAAATCAATCATGGCATCTACAATCAGGGACAATATAACGTCTTTGTTTCCAGCTTGGATGCTGTTTCTTTCTTTCTCTTGCCTGATTGCTCTGTCTAGGACTTCCGGTATTATATGGAGTAGAAGTGGCAAGAGTATGCATCCTTGGCTTGTTCTGAATCTAAGAGGAAAAGCTTTCAATTTTTCCCCATTGAGTATAGTGTTAGCTGTGGGCTTTTCATATATGGCTTATATTAAGGTACATTCCTTCAATGCCTAACTTATCAAGAGTTTTTATCTTGAAAAGATGTTGAATTTCACCAATGTCTTTCTGCATATATTGAGGTGAACGTTTGGTTTTGCCCTTCATTCTGCTAACGTGGCATATCACATGTGTAGGTTTGCATATGTTGAACTACCCTTTGATCGTAGGGATAAACCCCACTTAATTTTGGCGTATGATCCCTTTAATGTGCTGTTGAATTCACTTTGCTAGTATTTTGTTAGAATGTTTGCATCTATGTTCATTAGGGATATTGGCCTGTGTGTGTGTGTATATATATGTATATATATTTTCTTCTAGTAGTATTCTTGTCTGGCTTTGGTATCAGTGTAATGCTGGTATCATAAAATGAGTTTGGAAGTGTTTCCTCTTCTTCAATTTTTTGGAAGAATTTGAGAAGGATTGGTATTAGTTCTTCTTTAAATTAGAATTCTGCCATGAAGCCATCTGGTTCTGGGCTTTTCTTGATGGAAAATTACTATTATTATTATTATTATTATTATTACTTGAGATGGAGTCTCACTTTGTCACCAGGCTGGAGTACAGTGGTGCAATCTCGGCTCACTGCAACCTCTGCCTCCTGGATTCCAGTGATTCTCCTGCCTCAGCCTCCCAAGTAGCTGGAATTCCAGGTGCGTGTGACCACACCTGGCTAATTTTTTTGTATTTTTAGTAGAGACAGGGTTTCGCCATGTTGGCCAGGCTGGCCTCAAACCCTTGACCTCAGGTGATCCACCTGCTTCAGCCTCCCAAAGTCCTGGGATTACAGGCGTAAGCCACTGTGCCTGGCCAATTTTTAAAATTATTTATTCAGTTTCCTTATTTGTTATCAGTCTGTTCAGATTTTCTACTTCTTCTTGATTTGGTCTTGATAGGCTTTATGTTTCTAGGAATTTATCCATTTTTTTTCAAGGTTATCAAATTTGTAGATATATAATTGTTTATAAGTAGTTTCTTATGATCCATTTTATTCTGTAATATTGAACCCTTGTTTATAGATGAGGGACTTGACAGTTCCTAAGCTGCTGTGGAGTCTATTAATTGACTCACTCAAATGATTTGAAAATAAGACATTATGTCTGTTAAGAGTGTATTTCTGACAGATGGTATGGTTGAAGCCCTGTGGTTTTTGAAAAAAGTTGAGATAGAATTCATATAGCATACAATACACTCTTTTAACATGTACAATTTAGTGGTTTTTAGTATAGTTATGAGGTGTTACAACTATCACTGCCTAATTCCAGAATACTTCATCATCTCAAGAAGAAACCCTATGCCCATTATCAATCATTCCCCATTCCTGCCTCCCTCTAGCAACCACTAATCTACTTTGTGTCTCTTTGGATTTGTCTATTCTGGACATTTCATATGAATAGATTCATATAATATGTGGCCCTTTGTGATTGGATTCTTTCACTTAGTATAGTATTTTCAAGGTTCACTCATACTGTAGCATGAACCAGTGCTTATTTCTTTTTATGTCTGAATATTATTCCATTTTATAGATATACCATATTTTGTTTACTTATTCATCAGTTGATAGACATTTGGATTGCTTCTGCTTTTTGGCTATTATGAATAATGCTGCTATGAATGTTTTTGTACAAGTTTTTGCATGGACATATGTTTTTATTTCTCTTGGGTATATACCTAGGAGAACTGCAGGGTCATATAACTCTTTGTTTAGCTTTTTGAGAAACTGCCAGACTGTTTTCCAAAGCAGCTGAACTATTTTACATTCCTACCAGCTATATATGAGGGTTCCAATTTCTTCACATCCTCATCAACACTTGTTATTGTGTCTTTTTTGTTATAGCCATGCTAGTGATCATGAAGTGGAACCTCATTATAGTTTTGATTTGCATTTCGCTAATGACTCATGATGTTGAGCATGGACCTGCATTTTTTAACTGAACATTTTCAGTGTGATCCTCAGACCCTGTGCTCAGTGTTGGGAACAGAGCTGTGAATAAGGCAGCCCCAGTTGCTGTCTTCTTGGAGTTTAGAGTTCATGTGGGAAGGTAGATAGGAACAAAGTAATTGCAATTAGGGTTTTTGTAAGGAATTATACAACACATAGCCCCTTAGTAAACTTTAAAACTTTCTATTTTAGTGAGGTAAGCCTTTTTCATGATTGTTGGAGGCCAAAATTCATGCAGTGGTTATTTAAAGATAGAGATTGCATTTTTACATGTGCTTTTAAAAATAATTCAAAGAAACAAAAGCATATGCGAATAAAATATGTATAAAGAAAACAGTGGGGCTGGTCACGATGACTCATAATCCCAGCAGTTTGGAAGGCTGAGGTGGGAGGATCACTTGAGCCCAGGAGTTGGAGACCAACCTTGGCAACACAGTGAGACCCCATGGCTTAAAAAAAAATTAGCTAGGTTGGGCGCGGTGGCTCACACCTGTAATTGTAGCACTTTGGGAGGCTGAGGCGGGTGGATCACCTGAGGTCAGGAGTTCAAGACCAGCCTGGTCAACTTGGTGAAACCCTGTCTCTACTAAAAATACAAAAATTAGCAAAATTAGCTAGGTTGGGCGCGGTGGCTCACACCTGTAATTGTAGCACTTTGGGAGGCTGAGGCGGGTGGATCACCTGAGGTCAGGAGTTCAAGACCAGCCTGGTCAACTTGGTGAAACCCTGTCTCTACTAAAAATACAAAAATTAGCTGGGCATGGTGGCACATGTCTGTACTCCAGCCATTTGAGAGACTGAGGTGAGGGGATCTCTTGAATCTGGGAAGTCAATAGTCAATGCTGTAGTTAGCCCTGATCATGCCACTGTACACCAGCTTGGTCAAAAGAGTGAGAACCTGTCTCAAAAGAAAAGAAAAGTTGAATATTCTCCCTACCTCTGCATTCCAGCCATTAGCGGCTTGGTGACTGTTATTCCAGACCTGTTTCCAGTACAGGTATAGATTTGTATCAGTAGAGGTTTGATTAAGGAGATTACCTTCCTAAAGAATTTTCACTCCTTTTTGAGAGACTCGTGATTCACCTTCTTTGGGGTATAGAGAGATTTTTCCTAATTTTACAGTTATTACTGTGGTGAAGATTTACTAACTATTGAGTGCTTACTGGGTGCTAGGAACCTTACCCCTACACAGGTACACCTTGGTTGTGATGCATGACTTCCTGTGTTTCACCTTTCATTGTAGATGGTCCCCATCCCTGCCGGAGTATTTACAATGGGCACAGATGATCCTCAGATAAAGCAGGATGGGGAAGCACCTGCGAGGAGAGTTACTATTGATGCCTTTTACATGGATGCCTATGAAGTCAGTAATGCTGAATTTGAGAAGTTTGTGAACTCAACTGGCTATTTGACAGAGGTAATGGGATTGGGGAAAGGAGGGAGAACTTGTTCTTTTCCAGAACTTTTAAGAATGCTTTAATAGCAGCTCAGAGTGACTGACCACTTTTACCACATTCTGTGGTAGAACTGTGTGAAGCATTTTATTGTATATATTTCATCTTAATTTCTCACAACAACCCTATGAGGCAGGTTATTTTTCAGGTGACATACTGAGGATTAGAAAAGTGATTTGCCCCACATCACACAGCTAGTTGGTGGTAGAGCTGGGATTCCAGCCTGGCCAGTGTGACCTCAGAACCTGTGCTGTAACTATTACACTATATTGTGTTAATGCTTAATGTGTCAGAGAATACCACTGACCACTAAGGCTTTTTGAGATAACAGATGGCATGCAAAGTAAGACCACTTTTCGTCTCAGTAAATCGCAGTTTGGTTTTTCCAGAAGCATTTCATATTTTTTAAGTGATAAATGCAGAAGTGCAGTTTTTCATTTTTGTGGCTTTATTCCAACACCTTGACGACTCACATACACTGTGCTGTGGCAGCTCTAAACATTATGTGGTGGTCACTGAATCACAAAGCAAGGTTCTGAAAGTGGATGTTGTCCTAAATGGGAATAGGAAGAGGAAGGCTTTCTAGTCTATGAATGTTTATGTCACTTTCTGAACTACACTTATTTTATTTGCTTTCCAGTTTTCTCTCACAAAAAAACTTTACTCTTGTCTTCAGTTCATGGAGTCCCTGTTCCTTTTTTTTTTCTTTAGGGCCCCAAATGTCTTTTTGTAAATTATTATTAAGTGAATAATTTGAAAGTGAATGTATAAAGTAAAAACAACTTTCAAATTTGGTTTTGCATTGTCACATTTCTTTGGAATTTCCTCAAATATACAAAGTGGTTAGAAAGCTTTTTTGTACACATTTCTAGTAAGCAGAAGTCCTTTTCCTTTTGGTTTCCCAGGATATTCTCAGCTCAGGTTCCTCATTAGTTTACTTAAGTTAGAAGACTTCTAAGGAACCAGGGTTCTCCATGAAGATTAGATAGAATAAGCAGAACTTAGGGCATCTAAAAACATGGATGGGGAAAAGTTATAAGTTGGTACAAAAGTAATTACGGTTTTTGTCATTACTTTTAATGGCAAAGACCGTGATTACTTTTGCACCAATCTAATATATCTGGTTATTTACTACCCTCGAGCCCAAATGTAGTATTTCCTTCAATTATGATGCAAACAACAAACCACAGCAGTAGTAGCAGTACCTCTGACTTTGTTACCAGTAGAAATCACAGACATTTTTAATCATATTTTTGTTGTTGCAGAGATCTTGAAATATTGTCTGCATTCATCCCCACTTTGAAATATGATAATTATGAGACCTGCCACTAGATCTTATTTAATATATTAATGAAGAGCATATTTAATACTATAGCACTAATTTGCTTATTAATATTTTGATATAATGACTTTTCCTCATAATACTGTTGATTTTATTTTATGCATTTAAATGTTTTATTCTGAGAAGGGGGTTCTTAAGCTTCACCATACTGCCAAGGAGCTCAAAAAGGACCAAGAACTGCCTTGGACCATATGCTCAATTTTTTTTAATGGCACTCTATAGACTTCTTTTCCCATCTCTCCAGCTTCACTTTATATCACACTCCTCTTGTGTACCGTGTTCTAGCCCTGCTGGTTTTGTTTCTATTCCTTGAAAACTCAACATTCTTTCCCACCTCAAGAGCTTGGTCCTTATTTTCTCTCTGCTTGGAATTCACAGTTCTCTTGCTTATCCCCCTTATGCATGACTGGCTCCTTCTCATTCTTGAGTCGTCTCATCTTAAGTGTCACTTTCTCAAGAACGTTTTTCATGACACTCTTTACCTTACAAGGTGAAGTAAAGTTATAATTATTTTCTTCCATTCTTTGTTTGCTTGATTTTTTCTGTGCTCCCACACTTAAGCACAATAAGGATAGGGACCATGGCTATCTGATATTGACCTTATATCCCCTAATTTAGCCCCAAACTAGACACATGGTAGGTGTTTGATACACATTTGTTGAATAAATAAATGGCTTAGGTAGTTAGTCATGGCAGGGTCACAAGGGAATGCAGGAAGAAGATTGGGGTGAAGAAGAGATGGTAGCCTCCCCTCTGGAAAAGGAGTTGGAGGTGCTTGTAAGATCTGCAATATAAGATCCGGTACTCAGTTAATTTCATCTAGTAAGAACAGGACAGAACTAGAGGTAGAGATTTGAGAGTCATTTGGAGTACTGGCTATAGTTAATTTGATGAGGTTGAAAGAAGTTGTCCATCAACAAGCATCGATCAGTGTATCTCAAAGTGTATCTCTTGAGCTACCTGTATTAGAATGACTAGCTGTGTGCTATTTACACATACAGACTCCTTGACCTCACCCTAGAGCCCCAGAATCAGAATCTCTGGGGTTGGGGAGCAGCAGTATATAGTATGAACCAGCTGATTACATAATCTCAATTGCACAAAGCCTGAGAGCCACTGGTGTAGTAGAAGTGCAGAGAGCCAAGGGCAGAGCTCTGGGGAGCAACAGTGTTTCAGTGGCTGAAACAAGAGCCCACATATTTTAGGAGATGAATAAGAACACTCAGAAATGTAGGAGGAGAGTCATGGTTACCAAGGGACAAATGACCTAATTTTCAGAATAGGGTTATATACAACAAAAATAATCAGGTGGATGAAGACTTGAGACACTAATGTTAAATAAAATCGTTAAAATACAGATTTCCATTTGGTGCTTGAATTGGCCAGTTGAGATTTGTAAGCACATTTGACCCCTTAGTGGAGCTAGAATGTGTCAGAATATGAGCAAACAGTGCCATTTTATTGATTTAGCTAGATTCAGGACAAAGGACAAAACTTGATTATGTAATCTCACATGTACAGAATACTATTTCCCAGAGTCATTTGTAATACTTGTGGAAATGTATTTCCTTCAGGAACAGTCATGTTCTCAAAAACTAATCTTGTTCAGTCTGCATTCTTATCAGCTAAGTGAGTCTTAAATGAAAATGGTCTCTGTAAGTGACATTAACTTGTTTTAAGAGGAAGCCAGAGACTTTTAGGTCATTTCTGAGTCCCCTGGGAAGTCATAAGAAAGACCCAAGTTCAATCGGACAAGAGGAATAACTTTAATAGTGTGGAGAGAAAATGGCACACATGAAACACATTACCACAACCTTTTCTGGATTTTTATTTCCTACCTTCCTTATAGGCTGAGAAGTTTGGCGACTCCTTTGTCTTTGAAGGCATGTTGAGTGAGCAAGTGAAGACCAATATTCAACAGGCAGTAAGTAATGTTTCAATAGGCTCCTGTATTTCTCAAAGGCTCATTGAAAAGGGTTTGGGTGAAAAATCCAAACCACATATGTCACCCCCCTCTCCCCCTGACACCTAACCATTCTCCTGCTGAGGCCTGACCCCAAATAATAGGCCCATGGACCAGGACACCTTATCTTAAGGAAAATGGGACAAGACGGTATCTGAGGAAGTGCTGGGTCTGCCTTGAGCTTCTGTCTCATGTGCCAAGGAACACACTGCATTGCTAGGTAGAGCTCAGTAGGCTCCAGACACTTCTGAGTTTCATTTACTTATAGCCATTTCTAGAATGGAGAGCTCAGTGAGAACATTTTAAAATTCTGTTCTTAAAGTCTCCATCTCCTCAGGTGCTGGTGTGGAGATAGAGCTTCTTTAAACATTTTTGAATTCATGGGATCAGAGTAGCATTCAAGAAAGGAGCCTTTTGTTCTGGATATTCATAAAAAATGGAGGTGGTGAACTGGTTCTTACACGCAGGGGTATACCCTCTCATATGGAGGATCCAGGGGATGCAGATGAAGTGTGTTTTTCTCAGACATCATGGAAACAAATGGTGGAGTAGACTTCCACAAGCACCTTTGTGATGAGTGGAACTTGGGATTCTTGTTCCAGACATTTTAGCAGGTTTATGTATGTTTGAGTATTTGCTTGCTTACATGTCTCTTGAAAATATAAGAACAAGGGATGGACTGAGGGTAAGCTGGGAAGTTGAGGGTTCACAAAACAAAGAGGGTAGAGAATGCAAAAGAGATAGGAGATGGTGAGAGAGGGAAGGAAATGGGGGTCTGCCCACTCAAGGGAAGCTGATGAAGCGGGCATTGAAGACAGAGGAATCCAACCCTTATCTTCCTTTTTAATGCAAGTTGCCTTTTAGTTCCTGTCTGCACTTCATCTTTATGGGTGGGCCTCACTCTGTCCTCTCTTGTGAGCATCAGTGCAAGAAAAATTAAACTGTCCTGGCTTATGTTTTCTTTCTCTTAAAACTGACGTAGAAAAACTTGGGGGAAATGGTGAGGTAAAACAAGACTTGTTTTCAGATCATATGTAGGTGAATCGAGCCACTTTTTAATATGTGTTTTAGATAAATGCTTGAAAAATGTGATTGAGTTCCATTCGAATTCACAGCTTGCTTTGCTCCTTACAAGTTTATAAGTCTAATATGGAATCTGATACCTGCCCCCCCCACCTATTTTTTAAAGGACTTTGAGGTCAGTTTAGGCTAGTGTTGATGAGCCAGCAACTTGGGACAGAGGGCCTCATTTTAAGATACTGAGTTCAGGTGAGGGAGGGCGTTTGTGCTTATATTTGTAATTTGGGTTTTCAGATACAGGGCCTCTTGTCACTTGAGAACCTCCAAACACATTAGGTGTGAAGACAGAGGTGGGTCATTGCTAGGCTCTGAAGGTGCCTGTTGAGTACATAGTGAAGTGTGTGTGCTTGTAACTAGGATGAGGACAAGCAGCTCTCACTGGGTTGTAGTGTCAGTCACTTGCTTAAATGCTTATAATGGAAAAGCAAACCTTTTAAGCTTATTTAGAAAGGGCTGAACGAGTAACATAAATCTGTTGATGATCAGGGAGAGCAAAGTTTTTGTTTTTTTCATCCTCCTCATAAGGCCTGACTTACCTTCATTCACTGCACCAGACCTCTTTTTTTTTTTGTAACTCAGTGTCTCCAGAAGAGTAAGATGTGAGCTGGCCTACGAAGTAAATTTAAGCAGTAGAGAAGATGATTTTGAGTGGTAGATAGGCAAGCCTCCCATCTCTCTGAATCACATAGTGAGAAAGTGCTTTCCTTTTAGGTGTCTTTCAAGACTTGATTAAGTTAAAAAGAAAGACTCTTGAGTGCTAGCATATCCTTAACACTTGACTACACTTGTTATTCTCCATTTTAACATAGAAAAGGGCTTGGAAGTGTCCTCAGGCTACCACAGCTAGTTAATAATATTATTTTCATGTAATTATTTTAACTGTTGCATTCTATTTATGACAGGTTATAAAAGTGAGATAAATTCTCCTTTTTTTAAAAAAATCTTTTTTTTTTTTTGTAAAATTAGACAAATACAGAAAATAACACAACACAAATGTGCAGCTTACTGAGTTATCCTAAGGTGAACACACCTGGTTCACCTTAGGTCCACAATTAGAATTTTTCTGCCTGCCCTAGCAGCCCCATCCAGGTGCCACATCCTAATCATCACCCCTCTCTGTCCTTAAAGTAGCCACTACCCTGCTTCTCAAAGTAGACACTTGTTTGCATTTCTTTATAATATTATTATCCAGGTGTACATCTCAAGTTTAATCTTGCCAATTTAAAGGAAATTTGTGTCTTTTAAGACTCTTCTAATCTACAGGTTTCCCTTTCATTGCGTTGCTTCCCCTTACCCCCTAGTTTTTCGTCCAGTGATTTATCTGTTGAAGAATCTAGGACATTTAGCCTTGAGACTTTCCTACAGTCTGGATTTTGCTGAATGCTCTGTCATGGTGCTGTTCACCTGTTCTCTCTGACCTCTGTATTTCCTGCAAATTGGTAGCTGGATCCCCAAGTGTCATCAGACTCAGGTATGAACCCTACAGTAAGACATCAGATAATTGGTGGGTTCTTTCCCCAAGAGGCACCTGATGTCTGGTGCTGTTTCTTTTTACGATATTAGTGGCTGTTGATGCTTAATGTCTAATCCATTAATCCATTGGGGGCCATAAGATGGTGTATTACTCTCTTCTCGTGCTGCTAATAAAGACATACCCAAGATTAGGTAATTTATAAAGAAAAAGAGGTTTAATGGACTCATAGTTTCACATGACTGGGGAGGCCTCATAGTCATGGCTGAAGGTGAAGGAGGAGCAAAGGCATGTTTTACATGGTGGCAGGCAAGAGAGTGTGTGCAGGGTGACTACCCTTTATAAAACCATCAGATCTCGTGAGACTTACTCACTATCATCAGAACAGCACAGGAAAACCTGCTCCCATGATTCAGTTACCTCCCACCGAGTCCCTCCCATGACAGTTGGTGATTATGGGAGCTATAATTCAAGATGAGATTTGGATGGGGACATAGCCAAACCTTAGATGGTGATAATCTAATCTTTTTCATTTATTAATGGAGATTCTTTCATAAAGAGATAGTTCCATTCATCTACTGTTTCTTAACTATTGTTGCAGGTCATACAGGAAAGATAGGATAAATGCTTGATTCTTTACTAGCTTTTAAGATATAGATTTGGTTCCCTACTGTTCTTCAAAGGTGACCAGTTAGAGTATTTTTTGATTAAATATTTCATCTTCAGATAATCATATATTCTCATGCATTGTAAGGAATAATACAGAGAGATCTGGTGTACTTTTCACCCAGTTTCCTCCAATGGTACCATCTTATATAACTATAGTACGGTTTCACAGCTGGAAAATTGAGCATTCATATGACCCACTTGTTTTTGTCTGATTTCACCAGTTTTATATTATTCATTTGTGTGTCTGTGTATATATTTAGTTCTGTACAATTTTACCACAAATGTAGATTTGTGTAATCACTGGATTTAAAAAAGTCTTCATGAACTCATGGATTTAAATATATTTTATGGCCAGGCATGGTGGCTCATGCCCATAATCCCAGCTGAATTTTGGGAAGCCGAAGCAGATGTTCGCTTGAGGCCAGGAGTTCAAGACTAGCCTAGGCAAGAGAGAGAGAGACCCCATCTCTACAAAAAATACAAAAAATTAGCCAGGTATGGTAGTATGTGTCCATAGTCCTAACTACTTAGGTGACTGAGGTGGGAGGATCACTTGAGCCCAGGAGTTCGAGGTTTCAGTAAGCTGTGATAGCACCGTGGTACTCCAGGCTGGCTGACAGAGTGAGACCCTGTCTCTGGGGAAAAAAAACCAAAACATATTTTATTTTATTTTATTTTACACCGAAATCATGATCCCTTTTGAAGGTTTGGGCATATCTTTTTTTCCAACAGCTTTATTGAGATGTAATTTACATACCATAAGTTTCAACATACTAAGTGTACAGTTTCATATTTTTTATATAGTACAGTTTCACAACTAGAAAGCTGACTGTTGATACAACTCACTTATTTTGGGTTTGTATCAAAAATTTATCTATATCATCACAATCAAATTTTAGAACATATCTATCAGCCCTAAAAGAAACCACATGCCCATTTGCGGTCATCACCGATTCCCATCCCCAGCTTTAAGCAGCTGTCCTGAGTCCTAGCAGTGACCCTGGTGGTCCTTCATGGCTTCATGGCTTCATAGCTTTGCTTTTTGTAATGACAAGATCTGCTCCCATCCCTACACTCACCCTTAAAGCCATTTCTTTAAGAATCTCTAGTATCTTTTAGTAGGAAATAGTATTTCGAGGACCCTGTCTAGGCCCTGGGTGTGCTCATTGCTATTAGGTTTCTAGGCCACTGCAGTGGACAGACTGAGATAAAATGCCAAAATCAGTTTACACTGATACTTCCATTTTGTGATTTTTAGTTTAACCTGTTCTGTATTACATCTATCCCCTTTCTTCCACAGCAGGAATCCTGGTTTTCAAGGACACAGGGGATGATAGACTACTCCATAATCACTCATTTATTTTATCCCAGATTATATACATAATGGTCTCAATAATACTAATGCTACCATCCCCAGTGTCATTACTGAGAATAGGTTTTTAAAAATCCAAAAAGTTTATATCTGCTTTTGCTGTTTCTCCCCTAGTTTTAAAATATTGTACTATTTCTGTATTATTGAAACATATGTCCATTATAGAGAATACTCTTTCCATTTTAGCTCTCAACTAATCTCAGTTCTATAAGTAACTACATGTTTAATGCTCTCTGTGATCATGTCTCTGTAGTCATTTGAATTGATCAAGCTCATTCTCAACTGGATTCTTCAGGAAGTGGCCATGGGAACAATATGGCCTGAGTTTTTGCATGTTGATAACAGTTTGTTAGTGCTCTTTATACTTTG